TCCTCCTTTGTGATGGGGGCTTAATTATACAGGTCTCGAGGTGTCACAATATACTGGTATTGACGATAATTGTGATATTTAAAAAATGAAATATTGATATAATGTTAATGCTACACATATGGCAATTGGTAATAATCCAGCGCCAGTGTCTGGTTAACACATTTCAACATAGTAGGTGGTGGTATTGCCCATTATCGCTGGTTAACACTGGTTATAAAATGGAAAAATGAAGGCTGCAATGATGCAGTGTGTAGCTAGCAATGCCACACAAAATCATTTCAGAGGAGATGACAGGCGAAAGCGAGACACTCTACAGAAAATGTTAGCAGTAAGTTCTTTTGGTGCACTTTTGTTACAGTCACAGTTATGAACTCTGTCTCGTGTCTTGAGTGTGATTCATTGCAAAGAAAAACCCGAAATAAACATGATTTTGGCTGATGGCATTTTATTTTTTCAAAATTTCAAAATATAGATATATCGCAATAATGTCAATATCGTGAATTCTTTAAACCACAATAATCATGTAGTGAAAATCTCATATCGTAACAGCCCTATTTCCAGGTCAGACTGTTTACCCAACTATTTGATTTCGAAAAGTCGTTTCGCTTATCCCTAGTAAACAGGGTCATTGTGCAAGTTGGTTTGAGCTTTAGGCAGAGACCGAGTGCTGCAGAGTGATTTTACAACTTGCCTGTGAAGCTCAGACACATGTTTCACAGAGCTCTGAGTGCTGCGGCTCCCACTGCAGGCATCATATATTCACATCGTCCTCCAGACACACTCTCACCAGTGCTCACATCAGCCGTTACTTCCTAATGACTCACAGGAATCAGGCCAGCGGGCATCACTCAGCACCATTTCATTTTTCTCATATACCCAACCTGTCTGAGGTCTTTGTGCGAGTGAGATCGAGACGGAGTGAGAGTTACTCGGTTCAAACGTTACAGTGTCCCCTCAGTGACCAGGCAGACTGACAGATGACTGCGGGCTTTATAGAGGTAGTGGCAGGAGGAGACGCTTGCAACGGCCCCACACACCCTAATATACAGCCTGGGCAATAGAGACTTTTTACAATATATCTCTTGATGTCAGTGTATCTTTTCTCCCCATTTTTATTTATTTATTTTTGTAAGTTTTCCACTACCATTTGAAAGTTTGGGGTCGGTAGTCTTTTTTTTTTTTTTTTTTAAAGAAATGTGCTTTATTCCAAAAGGATGCATTAAATTGATCAAAAGTAACAGTAAAAAAAACGGTTATGCACTGTTACAAAATATTTCACTGTTACAGTATATTTCAAATAAATGAAAATATTTGACAATTACTCTATTACTGTTTTCTGACTATTTTTGATCAAATAAATGCAGCCTATGATATGCATAAATGATTGACAATTTTGGATTTTTGACAACGAATGAGCCAAATTGACCACCTCCATTTAAAACAACGCTCACATTCCCGTGAGACAAAGAGGGAACTAGAAACTAGTTTATTGACACATGGTCTTCAGGAAGCTTAATGGCCAAATTAAAAGCACATTAGAAGTTCACGGTGTTGCTTAATTTGATATCACCAGCCAAATTGTTGCAAATCTATCATGAATATATGCTGGCCAGCTGTATTACAGATCCTTCTGTCCACAGCTCCTGTGGCTCAAGGTCAATTGAAAGCATTTACAGTGTCTGCTTGTCGATTGCACGCCCCGAAACGCTCTCCTGGGCCCCATTTATATATATATATATAGAGAGAGAGAGAGAGAGAGTGTGAAAGTGTAAAAGTTAAGAGTCAACCACGCCTACCTAAAACAGCTCGTTCTAACACGCCCCCACATGTCTACGTCACGATGTGGGAAGATTTGCATAACGCCGCCCTAGGGCTGGACGATATGGCCAAAATTGATATCACGATATATTTCTTAATTTCGGTCGATACGATATAATTCCGATATCGATATGAACACTATTTATCTGAAATAGAAATCTTTTGTAACATTATAAATGCCTTTATCATCACTTTTGACCAATTTTAAGCATCCTTGCTAAATAAAAGTATTAATTTCTTTCCCAAAAAAATAATACAAATTATACTGAATGGAATAGTGTATAATGTTACAAAAGCTTTTTATTTCAGATAAATGCTGATCTTTGGATCTTTCTATTCATCAAAGAATCCTGAAAAAAAAAATGTACTCAACTGTTTTAAATATTGATAATCAGCAAATCAGCATATTATAATGATTTCTTAAGGATCATGTGACACTGAGGACTGGAGTAATGATGCTGAAAATTTACAATATGGTAAGGGGCGTAACATTTCCATCACACGCTTGAGGTATTCGGCCAATCACAACGCACAATATAGCTGGCAAATCAGAGCACACCTCGCTTTTCAGAACGATGAGCTTTGTAAAGATCGACGCGTTTCAGAAAGGCGGGGCATAGAGGAGAAACAATAATGTACAGTATGTGGAAAATAATGTGTTTTTTGAACCTTAAACCGCATAAACATTTCATTACACCAAATACACAAAATAATGTTCTTTTTGGCAACGTCATATGACCCCTTTAACAGATATAATAGTTTTTTTGGGGCCTGTGTGTGAACAGGGAGTTGTCAGAACAGGAAGTGAGCTGCTCCTAATCCTGCCACCAGAGGTTGAGGAAATGTTTCCTCGTTGTGCCCTAAGAGATGGGACAGCATTCCCAGAGCAAGCACTGTGGGAAATTCCCACTTCCCAGTATGACATCTCACAGATTCCTGCATCTCCTAAAAAAAACTAAAAAGAGTTATGACTCCTTATTTCATTTTCAGTGAATTGATATGTAAGTTCTGTAGATTTTCGAGTTCTTCTCAACTGTTTCAAAAAGCCAGTGGTGTTCAAGAGGGGGCAGACCTGGGTGTGTTTGAAGGGCTTGTGAGAAAATGGCAGCAGAGATGAATATGTGTGCATGTGAGAAACCAGGCTGCCGACACGAAGAATGCATTTCTCTCTCCAGGGATGTGCAATCAAGAATAGCACTGACCTGTTTCGGTTCTTTTCTCTCTCTCAGAACATATCCTGTGATTTTTGAAGTTCAATGTGTGGGCTCAGCTGACAACTTCCTGTGACTGACCATCCATTCCAAATGTCTCATGATGCTGCACAGTCATGACTAGTTTGAAACTACAGTAATGAAATGAAAGCTATTCATTAATTTGTGCGTCCCTTCACATACATTGAAGTAAAGACTTTACTTACTAAAAGGTATTATTTTAAAGGTACATTCACTACAGTTCAAAAGTTTGGTAATATCTTTTGAAATATATGCTCACCAAGCAGGAATTTATTTGATCAAAAATACAGTAAACCGTAATATTGTGAAGTATTGTTACAATTTAAAATAACTGTTTTCTATTTTAATCAATTTTAAAATTAAATGTATTCCTGTGATGGCAAAGCTAAATTTTCAACAGCCATTAGTCCAGTTTGTAATTACATGATACTTCAGCTGATTTTGTTTTCAATAAAATTTTATGTATTTTATTTTTAGTATTAAAAGCAGTTAGGCTGCTTAATATTTTTTTTATGGAAACTGAACAGCATTTATTTGAAATAGATGTTTTTGTAACAATGTAATGTTTTGTTTTGCATCTTGCTGGTAAGAAGTATTATTTCCTTTCAAAATATTATTTTTACTGACCCCAAAGTTTTGAACAGTAGTTTATGGTAATACCATAGTACTTTGATCTATGGTACATTGTACCTTAAGGTAATTCAAAGAATACCATAGTATATATAACCACAGTACATGTCCTAAATTTGTATTGCCATGGTACTTGTCCAAAATGACATTTAATAATAATACCATCGCAGAATGTCAAAAAAAAAAAAAAACATATTACCAAACTGGTATCACAGAACTGTGGTATTACTATGATTCAAGGCCAAACAAAAATAGTTTTTTGGTGCTTGTTGGCCGGCTGGTGTGCTGTGGTGGTAAATGCCAACTTTAGTTTTATTTGTGTTAGCATAAATTTCTATATACCTACGTGCTATGTCTGACATGTTCTGATTTTCTCTCAGTCTGCTGTCACTCACAGAGGCCAAAATCATGTTGCCCCTTTCACTGGGCTACTGTATGGCAACACTGCTGCTCTATACGTGTGTGTCCTGCTTAAATGCGGACAGCTGGTTGGATTGGCACTATTTAAAGAAAAATGTGTGGCTGTGAGTGTCTGTTCTTTGGCTGTGACGTTTTTGGGCCATTGTGTCCTTATTTTTTCTCCAAATTGCGGGAAAGGGAGGAAAAGGGCAGGGCAGGAAAATCTCCCTCTTTCTCTTACTCTATTTTTCCATACTTTTCATGCTCTGGCCTTGTTTCTTTCTGTGTGGATGCAAAAACTCCAGAAGGCCTAGAACAAAATGTGCTCATTTCGTTCCAGTGTGATGTTCATTTTGTGGGTCAGTTAGGTCCCTGATCAGCATTTTGGCCTCCTGATTCTGCATAAATGGAGGCTTGATCTTGGAACAGTTTCTGCTACACTCTATTGTGTTGTGTCTCAAACCACAGGGGTTCATTCATTCATGTGAAACGAACTGTTGTTACACTTATTAGGATGTATTTTGCGGCTCTCTGGAACAATTTTGATTTGTTAAATGTTTGTATGGAATCGCTGCTAAACTGGATATATTACCACCATCCATGGCATCTTTTTTGCTATGGTTTTTGTAATGGACTATCTTTCTTAGCTAATATAATATTTATTTATTTAGTAATAAATACAGTTTAAGATGATTTATACAATTCCATTCATTCATGTAAGCTAATATATACAATTGAAGCTAATATACAATGTTGTTTCATTAGTTGTTTTTGTTAAATAGCTATGTAATAAGTGACAGTCTACTGCCAGCGAGTCATTATTTACATCAAAATACAAAATATCCATAAAATATGAATTTAGTTTTTTTTTTCATTTGAACCACTTCTTATGGTAAAATCTGTTGCTCTCTCTTTCTGTAGTGATGGCAGCTATCCGTAAGAAGCTGGTGATTGTGGGAGATGGAGCCTGTGGGAAAACCTGCTTGCTGATTGTGTTCAGTAAAGATCAGTTCCCCGAGGTCTACGTGCCTACAGTGTTTGAGAACTACATCGCTGATATAGAGGTGGACAGCAAACAGGTCAGTAATCCTGAAATAGTCCTGTACACAGTGCTTCTTCCTTGTTTTGTGGACAGAAGCACTGAGAATGGGGCGTGTGTGTTTGTTTGAGAGAGGGAATAGGGTGTTACTGCAGCCTGTCATATTTTTAGCCCAAATTTGTGGCCAACCTGAACAGACATGATATAGATATATTGTGAGAGAAGTTATATCAGAGTGTACACAATATTGAAATGAATATTGGAAAGAATGTTTAGATTAGGGATATATATGCTTTCAGAACTTTTGATAAAAAAAAAAAATTTGCAAAGAAAATGCATTCTATTTTCTTTATGCTCCAGTACACACATTCCATCTTCATTTAGTTTATTCACTCAAAAAAAAAAAACAAATCAAGCCTTTTAACCCTTGAATGTTTTGTCTTCTTATCGAAGACCACTAGTCCAGTGTGGACTGCCGTTATTTCTTTAAATAGCCTCAGGTTTATAAATGGTTTTTATATTTATGGCCACTGATATTGACATGAAGGCCACTCAAAGTCCAGACACGTACCTTCAGCTGACAACCAATACTGAAGTATCTGCATCTCTCTCTCTCTCAGGTGGAGTTGGCTCTATGGGACACAGCTGGTCAGGAAGACTATGATCGGTTGAGGCCATTGTCATATCCAGACACGGATGTTATTCTGATGTGTTTCTCTATAGACAGTCCAGATAGTTTAGGTACCTAACTACACACATACACATTGATCAAAAGTTTGGAGTCAGTAAGATTTTGTTTTGATTTATTTTTTTTTCTTCTTTTTTTTTTGAAAGAAATGTACATTTTTATTCAACAAGGAGGCATTATTACCCTTTCCATAAAAATGTTAAGCAGCGCAACTTTTTTACATTTTTTACATTACCAATTTTAAACATTGTTAATAATAATAAATGTTTCTTGAACGTCAAAAGATATACTAAAATAGAAAAGTTATTTTAACAATGTAATAATTTCACAATTTAACAGTTAAATGTTATTTTAACTGTTAAATTATCAAATTTAAATAACTAAAACAAAAAATGTTATATACTCCGAACTTTTGAACAGAAATGTAAATTACATTTAAATTAAATTGAGGCTGTAATTAAACTTGTAAATATTACATCAAATTTAAGAGAATTTATTAAATACCGTGAATTAGGGCTGGGTAAAAAATATCGATATCTAGATATTAATCGATTCTCATTTTTACGGAACGATATCAATTCTTAAATCCCAATAATCGATTAGTCTAGCCTGTTTTCAGTTAATGGACGGAACATTGAAGGGTACTTCCCATCCAATAAATCGCAATAAGCATTGTGCTTTGGTACTTTTAATATGAAACAGTCTCAGATTTCAAATAATTTTCATTGTATTGCAGTATTCAAACAATAAATGCCGTTTTGGCGCTGTTTAATCTGCAGTGACAGATCGCTGTAGCGCCTCAGTTCAGCAGACGCAGCAGCGCGAGGCGCACGTGAACTGATCATCTCCTCCACATTAATACCAGTTTCAGCACAAAATAAATATGAATAAACATCCGAAGGTAAGTTAAAAGAAAGAGTATAACTTTACAAGCCGTTGATATATATCCAAAATAATCTATATTGAATCGAATCGGTAATCAAATCGAATCGCACGCTTGTGAATGAGAATCGAATCGAATCATGAAATTTGTGTCAAAACCCAGCCCTACTGTGAATACGCATTTTTTACTGTATTATTTATAATTTAATTTACTGTATTAAATTATTTCTAAAAGTATTTAACAATGATGTCGTTTCATAACTTTTTTTCTGGTTTCTTCCAGAAAATATTCCAGAGAAATGGACGCCAGAAGTAAAACATTTCTGTCCCAACGTTCCCATCATCCTTGTGGGCAATAAAAAGGACCTGCGGAATGATGAACACACACGCAGGGAGCTGATTAAGATGAAACAGGTGTGACAGATGTGTGTGTACGTGTGTGTGTGCATGTGTTAAACAGGTGTTGCCATAGTAACTTGAAGTAGAGAGACACAGCAGAGGCCTTTTGTTGGCCCTTGCCTTAACAAACAGGACACTTCCTGTCTCTGACAGCCACAAAAGAAAATGGAAATGCAGCTGTTTCCTGTGGGGATAAAGCTGACCTCAGGGATTGCTTCATACTGAAGGGTGTTTGTAAGAGAAAGGCAGAAGCAGTAGTGAAACTTTCATACTAGTCAGAATAATACTTTTAGATATATTATGTTCATGTGATTTCAAGTAATTTGCTAATGTGAACTTAGTATGCAGTTTACACAATTTCCACTATTATGACCCATCATATTCTCCCAAATTGCTCATCTACTTTTACCCACAAAGCATTGTGTTGAAAGGAACTGTTTTGGCTATAGATGTTCAAGCACCATTTAAGGGAGCTACCAGTGTCGTTAGTCTCTAGGAATGCTCATTGAGCTCAACCCTTGATTTTATCTCTACAGGAATGTAGCAGATTGTAAACCACGTGACATTCCACATACTACAGTAGTGCAGTATAAAACTGTTATTGTAGTGTATTTACTGTTTTATGTGCTACTTTTAAAAATAGTATAGAGTACCTAGTACAGTGTCAGTTGTACAGTCAGCGTATAGTCTGCTAGTATGGCATATTGAACACCGTAAGTAGGTCCTGTTTTGTCCTGGATGAGGTTAATGTTTTTTATTGGATCTTTTAATAGTAGCTGTTGATCGTTTTGTTGTAACCTACTTTTGCTTTGAAATCAGTATGCAAGTACAGAAAAGTTTAACTTAAATGTTCAAAACATCAGCAGTCTTCAGTGTAACATGATTCATAATCATTTTAAAATGCTGATTTGGTGCTCAAGAAACTTTTCTTATTACCGTATTGGCCTGAATATAAGACGACCCTGATTATAAGACGACCCCCCTTTTTCCAGATGTACCTAGCTATGGTTCAGTTGGAAGATTTCGCCAGTGCTGTCCCGCGAACGCGAGGTCTAACTTTCCCGGAGAAGTGTCACCTCTCTCGGCGTCTGTTCTGTGCAGTGAGCGGCAGAGAAGCAGCGCCTTCAGTTGGCCTGTGCGGCCGACTCGTCAATAAATGAGTACAAAACGGCGTTTTCTAGCACCTGTCGCTTACTGATTGTTTGGAATTATAAATATGAGCGTAGTTCGTCTGTTAATATCACATGCACTTTTTTTGTTTGTTTTTTTTTAGTTTGCTACTCAGACGCAGGCAACAGTCACGACTCATGCAGCTGTAAGGTTTTCTTTTTCTGTTTTTACTCGCGATCTTTACAACACTCATTACATTACGCATTTCATGGCACACTCGTTTTATGCGTATTTGGCGCCACCTATTGTTGTGGGTGTATTATTGACATGTCAAAGTCTAGACCCTGAATATAAGACGACGCGTTTTTTCAGATGTATTTCCACACACACACACACACACACACAAAAAAACTATCTGAAGTGGGAGCCCGTGTGATGACGCTGAGTCCTAACCGTAAGACCACCTTTTGTTCTTAACGTTGACTGCACTCAGACTTTACTCGACTCTCAGACCGAAAGCCAAGCTGGCAGCAAGGGTAGCTAAGAGTGACTCGGGAACATCGGCGGTGTCAGCCTGTCTTGGCTCCTTCCTATTTTACAGCTCCAAGTCACCGATTTTGGGAGTAAGGTGCGAAACTCCAGTTCAATCCCAGAATTGACAAAGAGGCATTCCGCGGTGTACAGACGAAACATGCTACCTATCAGATTGTGCTACCAAAAATATATTTGCATTGCTTTAAGGGTAAGTTTAGGGTAAGGGTAAGTGTGGACTTTTAAAAAAGCCTCAAACCACATGAATAAGATGCTGGTAGCACAATCTGATATTTTTCACTATCAATTTGTGCTACCCATCTTTTTAATGGGAGGTAGCACAATCTGAGTGGGTAGCACAAATCGTCAGAACACCGGCCAAGAGAAATGCCCGTTAGCAACAGTCTAAACAGGTAGCACCACCTCCTCTCCACCAACCCCGGAAACGCACACTGAAAGATCCACCCGCAAGGACTGCCTCCAAAAGGAACGTAACACAGATTTTGGTCAGTCAAACCTCCTCCCGTCTGTAAACTTCGCCCTATATACATATACTCCTCTTCTTAATTGGTCCTCGCCTTCAATCGTAATGTATTTTAGTTGGAGGGCGGTGACAAAGTAAACAAAGGGGCAGTATGGGAAATATCTGTAATGCCACACAATGTTGAAAACTGTTGTGCTGCATAATTTTTTTTGTGGAATCGGTGATACATTTTTTTTTTTCAGGATTTTTTGATGAATGGAAAGTTAAAAAGTAACAATTTATTTGAAATAGAAATATTTTGTAACATTGTAAATGTCTTTAATGTCACTTTTGATCAATTTAATGTGTACTTCCAGAAAAAAGTATTTATTTCTTCTAAAAAAAAATCTTACTATCCCTAAACTTTTGAACAGTAGTGAAAGTATTTTTTTTAATAATTCTTATCATATATGTGTATGTTTCAGGAACCTGTAAAACCAGAGGAGGGCCGTGACATGGCGAACAGGATCAGTGCATTTGGATATTTAGAGTGTTCGGCTAAAACTAAAGATGGAGTGCGGGAGGTGTTTGAGATGGCCACCAGGGCGGCACTGCAGGTCCGCAAGCGCAAGAAGAGAGGCGGCTGCCTGCTGTTATGAGCCACACACTGCGACATACACACACACCTCTATGTACCTTTCAGCTACTGACCCCAGGAAAAGCCTGCAGCACCCACCGCGTGCCACATTTCTCACAATCCAGGTGTGGATGACCGAAAATATTTATAAGGGAACCAAAGTGTGTTGTCGGTACCCAATACCTCTCCATCCTGCCATATTTCTCTTTTTTTCCTTTTCCTTTCACCAGCATACCTTCCTTCCTTCTCTGGGAGAAATACTGACTGATTAATTTTGTATTTGTACATAAATCTTCCCTGTCTTTTTCGGTTCTGGTTTACAGTTATTCTATGCCTCTGTATATGATGCTCAGTCATTTAAGTAAAATTGACCCTAGTCAGGATAGACGCCATAATTATTTCACATGAATGAAAACGAGGCTGTGAGGAATAGAAGTACAGTCTGATCAATGTGGTTGACTGTCATAAACATTTGTGTTGATTGTTTAGCAAAAAAGCTTTCTGAAAAATTTGGACAAAAAAATAAAAACTAAATGTGATGTCACTATTACGCCAAGTATAATTGTATGTCAAGACTTAATGGTTTCACAGGCTGAAACTGAATTAGCATTAAGTGCTAACTGAATTAGCTCACTCAGGCTATCAGTCTGGCCTGGTCTGTGCTGCATACTGTTTGTGTGAGCAAGAGAGGGAAAAATGAATCTTTTTTTGGCTTCGCCTGTGGCACAGTGTGTTACAATATCAGAATTCAGAAGTGTCAAACTCAAGGACAATTGATCGACTCCAGATGATACATGCTAAGAAGAAGTATTAAGTGTATATCCTTCTATTTTTCTGTGAGTTCAAGTGGTCTCCAGATCCTTCTCACATGGAAATGTTTCATTTTTCTCAGAATGGTAGTAGGTTTGACTGTTTTCACTGAATAAAAGTGTCACCAATGAAGGTTTCGGAATAAATAAGGGTGTGGTCACATTTACCGTAATTCATTCAAACAGAAATAGAAAGCTGCTTGGTATGAAAGTAACTTCTGTGTGAGCTGTGCTTCATACATTGCTACACTTTTGATAATGGGCAATAGACTTTTTTGCCACAATGTTGCTAATGGGACTGCACCTTTAAGAGGAAAGCATCAACTCTTAGAATCATAGTAAAGCACTGTCACGGCAACACCAATATCTCTAGGTTAATTACGGGTAGAGGTGACTGAGAGAAGAGGTATTTCTTCTGTCCTTGAACCAAAAACTCCTCAAAACTCCTCAGTGGGGCTGTCCCTATAATTGGTGTTCAGCAGGATTGAGAGGACAATAGGCCAACAGAAGAAGGCCCTAATTGGTTTAAAATTGGGGTAAGTGTTTATTTTTGTTTGTATATGTCCCTATTGACTTGATAGATACCTCAAGATCAGATGTGCTGATGTTGCAGGGCTGGCCCTGTGACAGTCTTAGGCTCTATAAAATGCTACATTAAAAAAAACACCCAGAGGTGATGAGGATAGGATTGCAAGCCTGTAGACATCTGGTGTCTTAACAGTACATAATAAGGAAAATGGTTCAAACATCACTGGGACTCTACAGTAAACTCAGCCAGGTATAGCAGTACTCCCAATAGCCACAAGGGAGTGACATGCACTGTTAGTTTGACATTAATCTATGGACATTTAAAAATGTATTAATGTGTCAGTGGTATTAAGACGCTTAATAATGAACGATTTAATGTAGGAATAAGAAAGGCACTTTATCATCAAAAACAGTGGTTTATGAATCAGTCCATGAGCTCATATTTTTTAAGGTAAATTAAAATATTTTCTGTCATTTGATAAAAAAAGAAATTAATATTCAGTTACCTGCAAGCTTTACAATTATATTTCTAGATTCATTAATATTTAAGCCAGGTTCACACTACATAGTCTTGGCAACAATGTCATACATACAGTCTGACTTAAAATCGTTGATGCTACACAGTGTGCTGTGGCTTTTACCCAAGATCCCATTAGGATGATTTCTTACAGTCTAACAAGCAACAAATGTAAAGGACCATACAATTTGTACAGTGTGAGCCCGGCTTTAAACAATCGATAGATCCCAGATTTCCATACTAGCTTCAGAAGGTGCAGAACAGGTGTGGCTAGTGAAGACGGGCTTGAGTTGGAGGACCTTCTTTGTTAATAATCGTGTCTCCACTCAGGATGCACGTATTGTTGGACTGCACTCTCCTCAGTTTCCACTAGGGGGTGAAAGAACACAACAGTGAGTTTTCCACATCATGCCTTCTTGAACTCTTATTCTTCATTTACTATTATTTGTATTATTAATAGAATTATTTATATTACTTTTATATTATTACTGTATGTTATTTACTATCACCATTGAACAAGTCTGCTGGTAACTGTACTTTTGAAATTGAGCATAAGCTAATTATTCATTGAACAATAAAAATTATATATTTAAGAAATAACTTTGAACTGTGATTGAATGCATCCAAACAAGTTCTTTAAAGTGTAAAAAGGCATTACAGTCAGATTTTTATATTTGCTGACAACTGGTTTTGAAAAAAATGGAGGAAAGAGGACAACATCCTGTTTGCAATGCGGACGTAGACAACATGATTGTTTTTGGCAGAACATCAACAAACACACAGGAATTCCCAGGTATTCTGAAGGCATTACACTAAAACCAGTTTAATTTTTCATCCCAGTGAAACAAAAAGTTGTGGTATGAAAAACAAGTTTATGGTTGAAGTCAAACAATGTGTTGTGACTTAAAGAGATTTCTGTCAGGACCACTATCGTCAAAATGATAGATACTTAGCATAACGTTTGGTTTGGCGGTATGGTTCTGTTCTGGGTTCTGTCCCACTAAGTACCAGCACTTGCAGTAACAACCAATAGCTTAAAGCAACAAGCAAGTCTAGCGACAAACATGATACTGAACACTAGATAAGCCCTAACAAGCAAGCAAAATCCCAATACCCTAATAGCTTTAAAGCAAAGACCTTCTGAAATAGCATAGACTGGGGCAGCATGCCCTTTAAGAAGAGAAGCAGTGAAGGGGTGCTCTTCTTTAATATGCAGCTGAGAAGAGCAGCATGCCCCTTTAATGCAGTACAGCATATGGTCAATACCCGAAGTTTAGGCAACAGCATGTTGCCCTATCCAGATAATCGTTAGCATTAATAACACCTTTAGTAGCAAAATCTACATACTGCAAGTTAAGCATCAAGCACATTACCGATACACTGTATAGCTTTAAGCAACAGCATATCACGGACTTAAACACAGCTTGATGGAAATAATCATACATATAGGATTGATGAAACGGAAATACTAGATGAGCCTTAAGCAGCAAGCCTGTTTCATATCAGACAGTCTTAAACAGATTTAAAAACAAGCCTCAGCTGTGGTAAGTTTAACTGGATAACGTTAATGTTACCAGTGTGTCAAAGTACAACCAATAAGCCTAAAGCAACGGCATGCCTAGTAAACCAACATGTTACTGAACAACTAGCCTTAAACAACGAGCAATATTTGACAATAGCATATTAAGCAATGAATAAGAAACTTAGCAGGAAATGTTGCTTAATAATATATTTATGGGGGAAGCATCACCCCTCACCCCAGACTGTAGTTATGTGTATTTTTATTTTTACATTTTTTTAATGAACATAGCTTGATCTTTGATCTCAGATCATGTATTTAATCAACACATGTCATATCACCCTAATTTCTCATGCTCATATGCTCACAGCTCACATCGTGAGCACATATTCAAGCGGATCAGAAATTATGAATCTCTAATAAGTATTGAGTGGCAGTACAGCAGGGGAAGCATACACCCTGCGGAAATACTTCGAATGACTGTCATTGATATTACATTCTTATATGTATAGAAGCCATTAGGAGCGATAAACGCGTGCTTCTGACGCAGCTGAAATCAACCGCACACTCACACAGCTAAACAGCTAATGACCTTAGAAATAAACAACCGTAACATTGAGATTATGCCGCTGAATACAGCGAACCCCAGTAACCCCAGTTACACGAGAATGCTTGTTTCATTTAAACTTGTTCTCATGGCCTTAACTATCGGCGTGAGAGCGATTAAGTTACATGATCTAGACTACGTGTTGCTCCAGCTGTATGAACACAGATGCGTAAATGCTGCTGCAAATATGCTTAATATTTCGCTCCTGCAAACGATGCAAAAAAAGACAGATATTTTCTTCAATTAGCAGACCAGGTAATATACACAGCGATATGGAAAACAGCATTCACTTATCTTAGATGTGGATTTCAGATATTCTGAAACACGCTGCAACAGTTTGATTTGCGAGCAGCGATGCTTAATTTGCTCCTGAGCAAAATCTTTTGGATTTTGTTTTCCCTTAATAATAAAAACCTTCATTTAAAAACTGCATGTTGTGTTTACTTGTGTTATCTTT